AGGTATATGTGTGGGGGTGTGTGTGTGTGAGAGGATTCACCAGAGACAGTGGGGAACAGAACAGGCAGATTGACTGAAATACACTGCTGAGGGGAGCAGCGGGTGAGACAGGAGAGGTCTGCTGTGCCATGTGGGTTAGTTCCCTGGCCGGGGATCCAAGTCGGGCCACAGCAGTGATAGCATGATAGTGCTGAGACTTAACACCTGTGCCACCAGGGAGGCCCCCATATTCATAGGATTCTATTGGAGGTTCTTCAAACGCCATCCCAAGAGGCAAAGAGCAGTCAAGAGTTGGTGTCTGGGCTCATTACTCCCTTTCAAAAGCATTTGATTCTGTTTTACCTATTAAGATTATATATGAAGAATTGTTAAAAAGACAGGAAGGAGGTCAGAATACATAATTTTTGTAAGATATCAAATGAAATTAGGCTGATAATATAGCTTTAAAGAAGAATGAGGATAAATGTGTGAAAGATCTGGAGAGACAGGTTTTAGTTTGCTCCAAGTAGGGGTGCTGTGCAATGCAATTTGCTTGCGGCAATCCAAGTTTATAACTGTACGCCTGATGTCCCAGGGTAATTAAAAACAGCACCTCTTTTCATTCTCTAATTGTACAAGTTTGGGCAATAAATTGTAAGGTCACCCTAGTTATAGGGAGTACTTTTCTAACAACTATGACTAGGATTACAAAGACTTGTTTCTGAAGCTGAAGCAAGAAATGAGATAAATGAGGAGCACCAGTTAGGCCACTTTCTTGATCAGCTGTTTTCAAACTTTCTTTTAAGGAGGAATTTTTTTCTGGCTCTTTAACTCTTTCAATTTCTCTCTATGCTGAGAGATAACTCTGCTGAGTTGCATCTTTCTCCTTGGAGTCTCTGGAAATAAAAATCATATTTCAAATGTGGTCTCTTCAGGGTGTATTGAAGAGACTTCCAAAATTATAAAAGGTTTGAATTAGAAGGAAATAAAAGATTATCAGGGTCATCCCAGTAGAAATATGAATATGGCAAACTATTGCTGGGTGCTTACATAAGAATTATTAGGGAAGTTTGCATTATATACAGATTTCTAGGTCTGTGCTTAGATATTCCTGTTAGGCTGGTAAGGAATGAAATCTGAGAAGCAGAATTTAAAAAAAAATTTTTTAAGATTTATTTTATTTATTTATGCATACAAGAGCTGGGGTGTAGGCCAGAGGTGGGTGTGTGTGTGTGTGAGAGGATTCACCAGACAGAGTGGGGAGCAGAACAGGCAGATCTACTGAAATACACTGCCGAGAGGAGCAGTGGGCAAGACAGGAGAGGTCTGTTATTGTGCCTTTGTGGGTTATCTCTCTGGCTGGGGATTGAACTCGTGCTACAGATAGCTTCAATGTGCTGAGTCTTAACCACTTCCACCATCAGGGAGGCCCTGAGAAGCAGAATTTTAACCATATCTCCAGTACGCTATTGTTTGGGGAATCTCTTGAGAGCCCATGACTTCCAATGCTGGGAGATATATAATTATTTTAGTTATTTTAAATGCTACTTTTTTTTATATCAAATAAATATCACTGTCTCCTTCACATTTAATATTTAAGCTTATAGGTGTTACTGTGAATTATGTGTTTAAAAGTTACCCAATTCTTTTATTTAACTTGTTCTAAGTTTTTTTTTTTTTTTAAGATTTTATTTATTTATTTATTTATACAAGCACTGGGTACAGTCAGAAGCGTGGGAGGTGAGAGAATTAACCAGAGCCAGAGCGGGTTGCAGAACAGACAGAAGGATGGATGTACACTGCTGAGGGGAGCAGCGGGTGGCAGGAGAGGTCTGCGCACCATGTGGGACTCTCGCTGGCTGCCAGGGATCGAACCGGCACTGCAGAGGCTGCGGGCAGCCCAGAGCTCAACCGCTGTGCCACTAGGGGAGGCCCAAAAGTTACCCAATTCTTAATACCTATTTGTCTTTGTTTCTTTTTTTTCCCTCAACAAAGACAAGTAGCACTAAGAATTCAGACTTTATTATGTATATGTCTGATACCTTGTGTTACTTTATAATTGGGTCCTTATACTTGAATGAAAATTTAATATGTCATTTAATTTGACAGAAAAGGTCATTTAAACCAAATGTCACAAAGCCTACGTCATGGCCAGTGGTGTTCTGATAAATGTTAAATAAGCAGCTCTCTCTTAGGACAGAAGGGAAGTGGGAGGAGGGAGAAAAGAAAAACCTGATTTGTAAAGTTTATCAATTTCTGTAGTAGTGTAGGTGTTTTTACTCTTTCTACCAACCAGACTTTCCCAGTGTAGAATTGGGAAGGACACATGCAATTGACTTTTGTTGAGCTAGTGCAAGGTAGCAGATCCCTGGGCTAACTGAAAATTTAGTTCTCATGACTCTTAGTGTTCATTTTATTACTCTGCAAGTAAAGCTGGCTCGTAAAGATGCTCCAGTAGCACATTATTAATGTAATTAGGGGCATCTTGTTTTGCATATGAATTCCAGAACCATATACATATAAAACTATTCATGTGTGAATTCCTGGGAATTTGTCTCTTATCCCCATATCACCCAGTTCCAACTTTATAGTTGTCATTTTTGACTCTCCAGAAAGTTTCTATGGACCTTGCTTCCTCCTTAGTCTGACTCTTGGTTACTATTTATCTTTAGGGTAACCCCTTGCCAGTTCTCCACTTTGATGAGAGTCAGCCCACTTAACTGATTTTAAGGTTTTTTTCAGATCTGATTTCTCCACGATCACGTGTTCTCTTTGATGTGTATCATCAATATAGACAGTTAATTTTTATCAATTGTCCTTAATACAGTGCTTTCCAAAGTCAATTCTAAAAGACAATAGTTTGAATATATATGTTGAGTCAAGAAAAAAGGGTTGGTTTCATTGTCTAATATGAATGAGAAATGTGGCTATGCTATAGCTACCCCACCACCCACACCCTAGAGAATCACAGTTCATATTCACAAATTGATGATTCTGAGCAATCTTGCAGTGAGAAATATATATATATATATATATATGTGATACACACACACATACATACATACACACATACAAACACTGTGGTCTGACTTAGCTTTTTCTAGAATTTATCTGAGCATGAACCTTCCATCATTGATTCTGAGAAATACTGAATATCCTACAGCAGCATCTACCCCATAGCATTCAAAACCCACATTCCATATTGAATTACTCTTTAATTTTCCATACCTGAATGATGCCCTCCCAACCGCCTTGCTCCATTTAACTTGCAGACCTAGAAAGATTGAGCTATTCTGAGATCAGTGATTGGCCCAGTTCTTAGACTTCAGTGGCCAGCTTTGTCTCTCTTCCAAAGTCCCTTTTACTTTTCTCCCCTTGGATGTCTGACCCTGCATGACAGAATGGTAGTTTTAATATAAGAAACCATTTTCATGTGGTATAAATACCAGACAATATTTCTGTTTGTTTTTACACATGCATACTTGACTAGAATGGGAGTCAGGGAATAGGGAGTGTTAGTGAGGATAAGAAAGTATGGATAGAAAGAAAATGATAGAGGCCATGATGTCAAGCAGAGGAACTGGGCCTCCACCTGTGGCACAGGCGGTTGAGTGCAGCGCTGTGAAGCTGTCCGCAGCCTCTGCAGTGTGGGTTCCATCGCGGCTGGCTGGCGAGAATCCCACATGGTGCGGCAGACCTCTCCTGTCTCATCCACTGCTCCACTCAGCGGTGTATTTCGGTCATTCTGCCTGTTCTTTTCCATGCTCTGTCTCTGGTGAATCCTCTTACCCTCCCGCTTCTGACCTGTATCCCGGTTCTTGTATGTATGAATAAATAAATCTTTTTTTTTAAAAAAAGCAAAGGAACTTAAATGTGAACATGTTAAGAAACAGGAAATGGAATAACTGCCCTCTTTTTTCTGTTCTTGAACAGCTCTTCCAAGGGAAAGGAATAGTGCCTTTATCAAAACAGCTCATTTATAATGCATTTCTTTCTTTTCCTTTCCTTAGATCATAATATGCTTTAAATCTGAACAGCAATGCCCAATGTGACCCAGGTGACTTCTATAAACCTCATTCTGCTATTATTGTCTTGCATTGGTAAACCCTTGATTGCTTTACCTCTTTCTCCTGTGGTGCCCCTTTGCTGAATTCATTGCAACTCAGCTTCAGTTCCCAAGGCAATAGTCATGATTTCCTTGTTGAGCAGGGTGATGTCCTTGGAGAATCAAAGCACCCAAACGGAACAATAGGGTTACTAGTGTTTTCTTCGTATCCCCAATGGAATTTATCATTGCTTTGAATTTCTCTTTGATGAAATTTCTTGTCTTAAGGGGATTTCTGCTCAGCAATTGATTAAATCTATATCTGCAGGGGACAGAAATGCTTTTCCACCTATGATTGCTCTGTAGATATTTACCTGTCCTCACTGCCAATGAGAATAACCTAGGAATCCTTTAATGCTGCCTTCTTCCCTGCTTCACTGACCTGGTACCTGCCTTAAAGAAAAGCTTCTTAAGGTGAATGCCCTACAAGCTGCCTCCTCTAACTGCCTGCCCACTGAGAATTGCCAAATACTTCCCCTACAGCCCCACACGGCAGACCTTTTATTCTAATTCCCTAAGCTACTTCAGTCAAATCTCATTCCTCTCTGTGTTTACCAGTTCTTGCCCTGTAGTAGGGTCACAGTGGTTTTTCCTTTTTATAGAAATTCCTGAGAAATTCTTCTTCCACTCAAACCTGATAGCACACTGATTGTTCACAAGAGGCCACTTAATGCAAAGAGTAAAAGATGAATCCTTCTTAATCTTTTTTGTTCCTTAGAATTAGCTGTTTCTAAGAATGCCCAGTGGAACTTACCACTAGACCATGGTTGGAGTTTTTACTTGATTTATAACAAACTGTTGAATTCAGTACTCCCCAGTAACTAGCTGCGCCACATACACAGGTGTACTTAGTACTACACAGGTGTTTTGTGTAGGTTTTGATCATTCACAGGTTTTCCTTGCCTTCCTTTTTATCTCCTGTCCTACAATATATTAGGGCTGGCTGTCCTACCCACAAGGCATCTGCAGACACCAAGGTGGCTCAGTCGGAAAGGATTCTTCCAGGTAAGAGCTCAATTTATCCTGTATCTGCTGCTTCTTATGCATCACCCTGATTCTTTAATCTCTGGTTATGTTATTTAGTGTTCACTGTTTCTTTTGGTCTCCGTGGGGTTTTTTTTTGTCCATTTGGATGCTTCTCTGGCTTATGAGCTGTTTTCTATCACAAGTTTTTTGCTGGCATTCTCTGATTTTGACACTTCTTAGAATTTCAGATGATTAGTGCTTATATCGGTCTCAACCCAAATGACACCCTGCCAGCTGGGCTGAGCTGCTTAACCTAGAAATGGTGGGATTTGAAATTTTGAAATTTTATGTGGAACCCAGCGCCTTTATTTCTTCACTTATTGCCAGCACAGGGGGTGGGTTATGCCATCAAATGCTCATGGTAATACAGTTCAGGCCTACGTGTGTCTCTCATGGCCCAGCTAGTAAAGTTGGCGTTACTGAGGCTTCATTTGTACAAATACTCTGGGATGAAACCTCCACCCTCCCAACCCCATACCGCTTATTAACCTTGCTGCCAGAGAAGTTAAAGTAGAACTTTAACAGAGTATGAGAAATTCCTCTACAAATTCAGTTCTACGTGCAAACCCAAAGTTTTCGGGTCCATGAATACTACAAGTAACCCTTATGTTTTGTTTGTTGGGGGTGGTTGTTTGAGCGGTACATGATTCCCCTTTCATAGTCTAGGACCATCTCTTAATGGCGTTGTTAGTTTTTTAACTTGTGATGAGGGACATGGTTCCTAGGCTCAAATGGAAATGAGGTGAGCCAGGCACTTACCTAGTTGAAGGGGTAGAAGTCTGGCTTTTCTTTTGTGAACATTTGTTACTTTGCTTAGCTGTACTTCTGCTTCACATCTTTAATTCTTCATTTTAAGATAGGGCCATCTGCTGTCATGCTGTATTCTTTTTGACTTGAAGGATTTTTATAGGCACCTTTAGTGACTGGATTATAAATAATCACCTGTTTGCCGTGGGGTGTATGTAAATCTGGAGTTCCTCTTTTGATGTATGGATGCTGGGCAGTGGGGAGGACACATCTGACTTTAAGTGATAACCTTTGTGCTGTGATAGCTGATGCACTGGGGTCCATCTGGAGACATTTAAATTGCTAATTGGCAGATGCTGTATATCACATGATGGAACCGAGGAGGAGATGTGAATGTAAGGAGAACCCTCCCTTTAGTAGCACCAATATTCCTCTGCTGACTTCTCTATTAAATTAAGGCTCTTTAAACTAGAGGGAAGGGAGAGAAGTGAGAGAAGCTAAACTGGAAGAAGACTAGAAAATATATATTTTTCAGTCAGTTTCTGTTTATATAATTATAGCTATCTACGCAATTGTAAGAAACAGATATCCTTTGTGAACTTTGCCATTATCCCTAATGGGTAGCATTTTGCAGAATTAGAGTATAGTAGCATGATTAGGTATTGACTTTGATATAATCCATCCATCAATATTTAGATTTCCCCAGTTTTGCTTGCAGTCATTTGTGTCAGTGTCTCTGGGTGTATTAATTGCTACACAATTTCATTTGTGTATCCACTGTCATAGTCAAAATACTGAACAATTCCAGCACTGTATATATCTCTATGCTTGCCTTTGCTAGCCACACTGGCTTCCTCCTATCCCCACTGCCTGCCTCCTTCAATCCCAAACCTTTGGCGACTTCTACTCGGTCTTCCATCTCTAAGATTTTACTTCATAATGTGATACAAATGAAATCATACAGTATGTAACCTTTGGATTTGGCTTTTTCCTACTGTATAATTCCTTTGAGATTGATACAAGATTTGTGTGATTCCTTTATATGACTGAGAAGTATTCCATGGTGTGTATGTACCGCAGGTTATTTAACCATTCATCTCTTGAAGGACATCTAGCTGGTGCCTGCATTTGACTATCACAAGTAAAGCTTCTATGAATATTCATGTGCAGATTTTGTTATATGAATATAAATTTGCATTTCTTTGGAACAAATGTTCAGAAGTGCCTTTGTTGGATCATATAATAGTTGTATGCTAAGTTTATAAGAAACTGCCAAACCTTTTCCTAGAATGACGGTATAATTGTACATTTTTATTTTACCCTTGTTGACATTTGGTATTGTCAGTGTTTTTCATTTTAGCCATTCAGGTGGGTGTGTAGTTATACCTCGTTGTGGTTTTCATTTGCACATGGCCAATAATACTGAATGTCTTCATGTGTTTATGTGCTTATTTGCTATTTCTTTATCTTCAAGTGAAATGTTTTTTGAAAATTTGTAAAAATTGGTTTATAACGCTGTATATGATTCAAAAATATAAGATCCCACCTCTTCAGGTATATGTTGCCATTCCATACATACCCCAAGGTACCCATGGTCTTACTCTGCAGTCCATTGGAGTCCCACCCATACTTTCCTCTCCACCGTTCCCCTCCTCAGGTCACCTCAGTTTTACAGATTTCTAGGGTTTTTTTTGTTTGTTTGTTTTTGGTGTGGTGTTGTCTGACTCATTTGTTTCTCTTTGTTCCACTGTTTGTCTTTCTTCTGGCTTATTTCATTATAGCATAAACCCTTTCAGTTTCTTCCATGTTGTTGCAAATGACAAGAGTTCACCCTTTTTATTGCTGAGTAGTATTTGAGTGGCAGGGTATGTATCCTGTAGTGTAGACTTTTCTTTTCTTCTTTGAGTTGATGCCTAGGAGTGACATTGTTGGATCATATGACAATTCTATATTAAATATTTTGAGGAACCTCCATATTTTCCATAGAGCTTGAACTAGTCTACATTCCCACCAACCATGTATGAGGGTTCCTTTTTCCCCCACATTTTTGCTAATACTTGTGAGAATGACCCATATATAAAGGACCAAAAATAACAAGTGTTTGATTTGCATTTCCCTGAAGATAAGTAAGGACAAACACTTTTCATGTGTCTGTTGGATATCTACATGTCTTCTTTGAAGAAGTTTCAATTTATTCTGTCCCTTTTTGATTTGTTTTTTTGTTTTTCTTTTTGTTGAGTTGTATGTGTTCTTTGTAGATCTTGGATATTAGTCCCTTATCAGATGTATGATCTGCAAAAGTTTTCTGCCATTCAGTAGGATGTCTTTTTGTTTTAATGATAGTTTCTTTTGCCGTGCAGAAGCTTTTTAGTTTAATAGTCCCATTTGTTTATATTCTCTTGTCTCCCTTGCCATAGAAGTTGAATTCCCAGATATATCACTGAGGCCAATATTGTGCAGTGTTTTTCTGTTCCTTCTATACATTGTATGACTTTAAGACTATATTTAAGTCAGTAAAGTAGACTGGTGAGGCTATCTCACTAGAGATAATCTAGTAAACTAGACTCTAGTTTAATTATTTTCATATGGCTGTCCAGTTTTCCCAACATCATTTGTTGGACAGAATGTCCTGTCTCCAATGGTTATTTTTGTCTCCTTTGTCATAGATTGGCTGTCCATTTTTTTATGTGTGGGTTTATTTCTGGGCTTTCAATTCTATCCCATTAGTCTATACGTCTACTTTTATTCCAATAACATGTACTTTTCATTACTATTTGCAGTATAAGTCTGAAGTCTTGGATTGTGATACCACTCTTCTATTTCTTTGAAGAATGACATTGAATCTGTATATTGCTTCTGATAAGATGGCCTTTTTCACCTTTATCTAATTGAATTGTGCTTTTACTGTTGTGATTTTAAGTTTATTTTCCTTTTTAAATTTTAATTGTTAAAATAACATTGATTTACAACACTGTTTTTGGGGTGTAATTTCACATCTCCTTAAATCTATTACCGCATAATGCCCATCATCAAAGCACCAATAACTTTCCACCATAGTCCATTGGGTTTCCTCAATGGACCCTATTCCCTTTTGCTCCCCATCCCTACCCTCCCCCTCTGATAACCTAATTTCTACAATCAGATTTCTGTGCTTTATTTTGTCTATTCCTTTGTCTTCTGACTTTTTTGCTTAGCATAATAATCCCTCCTGTTTTATCCATGTTGAACAGGGAAGATTTCATATTTTTTATACTAAGTAGTATCTGTGTGTGTACATATACACATAGAAAAAATATACATACCACATCTTAATCCACCCTCTGTCACTGGGCACTTGTTTGTCTCTCTTAGCTATAGTGAATAGTACTGCAATGAACATAGTACATGAATCCCTTTGTTTTAGTGTTTTTGCTTTCTTTGGATAGATACCTCAGAGTGTAATTCTTGGGTCACATGAAATGGATGGATCATAATGGTAGTTCTACATTTAATATTTTGAGGAAGTTCTATTATGTTTTCCATAGGGGCTGGTTCTGTCCAAATTACCAACAGTGTAAGAAGTTTCCTTTTTTTTCTGTAAACTTGTCAATGCTTGTTTCTGAACTTTTTGATATGAGACATTCTCACATGTGGAATATGGTATCATTGTGGTTTTGATTGGTATTTCCCTGATGATTAGTGATGGGTATTTTTTTTTTCATGAGAAATTGACCATCTGTATGTCTTTTTTCCCTTAAGTGTCTAGATCCGCCCATTTTTTTGACTGGGTTGTTTTCTTGCTGAGTTGTAGGAGTTCTTTGTAAATCTTGGATATTAACTCTTTGTTGGATATATGATGTGAAAATATTCTCACCCATTTAATGGGGCATCTCCATTTAAATGAGTTGCTGTGCAGAAGCTTTTTTATTTGACATAGTCCCATTTTTTTAGATTTGTTTTTGTTTCCCTTGCTGTTGAGTATTCATATACATCACTGAGGTAATTGTCTAGGACTGTTTTGCTCTTTTTTTCTTCAGTGTATTTTATGACTTTAGATCTTACATTGAAGCACTTAATCCATTTTGGCATTTTGTGTGTGGTGTAAGGTAGTGGTCTACTCACTGCTAAGCTTTGGAAGTTCTTTACGTATTTTAGATACCAGTCTTTTTGTCACATGTTTGGTTTACAAATGCCTTCTCCCACTCTAATATTTTATTGCATGTACTTCATGTGGGTTTTCACAGAACAAAAGT